CCCCCCCCCTCCATTCAAAGAGGAGGAGGTTACGACTCAAAGACCTTGGTCGTATCCGTCACGGTCATCATCATCATAACCGAGAGAGACGTCCTTCTCTGAAGGAACGTCAACATGCGATGGGCCTGCAACAGCAGGGGCTTCTTCATCGCTCCAGATGAAACCTTCCGGTTCCAATCCCAAAGGGGGAGATTCGCCTTGGGGAACTGCACGATCGCAGATCGGTAGACCTGCGTGCAGAGGGATCTCTTCTGGTTGTCGAAGGCCAGAAGTCCCTTCGCTGCTTCCTCATCGAGAATGTTTTCGCGGAAGGGCCCACCGACGTGCTGCGCCTTCCTGGCCCTACGGCCAAAATAGCCAACCATGCGGCTAGCTTCCCTCCTGGCTGCGAACTCACGCGCAACAGCAGTGATATCCCAGGTGCGCTTGCCATCGACGATGCGAAGCGCACGCTGGAATTGCGCGGACGTGCTCCAATGCAGGACTGGGTCCTTGGAGATCTTTGCCGCATTGGCAATTACTCGCCCTTATATGAAGACCTGGCCAAAGCGCATCACGAAGATGACAATCATCATCTTGAAGCGATAGCGCACCTGCAGGTGGGACTTCTTCATGCAGCAAATGCTCAAGGGCACGACAAATGGGGGATGTCAAAAAAAGAGATCGAGTTCCGTTTGGCAAGCAAAATGTCTCTAGATAAATTCGAGGAAGCCGATCGCAGAGCCAAACAAAAAAAAAACAAAATCCAGAGCGACATGAGAGCTCCCAGAAAGCCAAGGATCTACAGGCACAGATAAAGCTTCGACATGACAACGAAAATCGTGCTGTGAAGGAGTTTAAAGCCCAAATGGGTCTCTGACACTGCCTCTGAATAATGGGCTGCAAAAGAGCAATTTGACTCCACCCTCAAGGAATTCGCTGCCATGTATCACGTATGAACCGCACTAACATGACCTTTTCCGATGAAACCACCGGTCGGGCACTCTGTTCTCTCATCAGCGGTACTGCACAAATCAGTAATCTCCATCAAACGTACAATGAATGTGCCCGCAGCCCGTTCACTTGAATCTATGATCGTGCTCGCCTAGTCCTGCTGCTGATCCAGCGCATATCGCATGCACATGAGAGCATACACGTATGGACCCTGCATTAATGACCAGAGTGTGATATCGCTCTGATGGCCATGGCCAATTGAGAAAAGAAAGAATCTCTGCCAGTCAGGGGCATCATTGTACGTGACGTAAAATGCATCATGATGTGCAATTCAGCAACCAGAACGAGTTGTCTACCGTTGCGCCAAGGTTGCATGCCACTACGTTAGGCATCCACAAGGGGCAGCAATAGCCTTGCCCAAATCCTCCAAGACAACACCAGAGCCCAAGACGGACCTGATGCGAGTCCAGATACGAGGCAGCGAGCTCGCTTTTACACAGTTTTGACTCGGAAACCGACAATGCGCAGCCGGAGAGGCTGGTGAACCCCCTGCTCTAACTCTGTTGCTCATGCTCTCGTTTGACAGAGAGCACGAGGGGAGGAGTAGATGAAGGGTCCTGTCGGGCGCTTTAAGGACTGTGTGGGGAGGAAGGAGAAAAGATCGAGGAAAGTGGAGAAGCAACTCTGGAGGCAAGCGATGGCAAAGCAAGTGAAGCGTAAATTACACAGTCAGATAGCAGTCTGGGTTTGGGCAAGTTGTAGGAGGTGTCCGATGAGGCGATGGCTTTAACATGGTTGTGTGGAACACAACGGGGAATGAGTTATAACGCATCGACTGGACGAGGAAAAAAAGGCCAGGACGCGGATACAAAAATATTTAGGCTCACGTGAAACCCTCAGAACACGACGCGCTCCTGACGCATAGGCTCTCCGAGATGGTCGTTTGATATTGCCTCACAATTCCTCATTTCCACTTTCAATTTCCACTATGTGCGCCCCTCTATAAAGCTATCGTCATATGACGGTACATCGTTCCAGGGGAGCTGTTGCACCGAGGTTTTTGATGGAGTTGAAGGGAAAGGCAATATGTCCTGAGTATTGGATCCATTCAGGCGATTGATTGGTCGCAGACGAGAACAATGGCCGGCGATTGCGACTATTTTGGAAGACACGACCAGCGGAGACACTGGTTTGGATTTTTCATCCAAACCCTATCTCTGCGCTGGCAGTCGAGCCTCAACATGAACGGAGAATCACCGCCATTCACATCGCAGTCAAAACCGGCATGCATCATTTCGGACGAATTCCCTCATCATATGGCTGCTCTTGGAGACTGTGCATGCCCTCGGTCTATCGGCAATTCGATGAATCGTCACTGTGGGGTTTATCTACCTGCGGCAGTCTGGCTATCGACCGCCCTGATTTCAAGCTTCCTCCATCCAGCGTTTAAGGAAGACTGAATAAACGCCCAAATGTGGATTCCGCAGTGGCCCAGGTCCGGATATTCTTGGAAAACCGGTGTGTTTATCCTTGATAACCTGTAAAAGCTCTGACTTTCTCTGGCTTTAGGGGTAGCTCGTCAGCCCTCGATTGAGAAGAGCCGATCGGCAGATGCGCTCATCAGTATGAACGGGCCGATATTACGACGACTGGGCGTGCCGTCATAATGCCGTTTCCCCCTCTTTTCACCTGTGATCGTCTCCATTGGCGGCTGTTCGAGAGGTATAAGATTGTCGCCCCCTATTCAATCACAGGCAATGCGTTAATGATGAATATCCTCACACTATGCTCATCCTTGTCCCTCCTCCTCGTGCTTGCCCTCATCCGCACGAACCGCCTCCGGTCGACCCGTCCACTCCCACCAGGTCCTAAAGGATTGCCATTGATCGGAAGTTTGCTGGAAATCCCTTCTCGTTTACTCTTCCTCAAGCTCGTCGAGTGGTCGAACCAATCTGGTGCTGTTTCAAACTCATCGTGTCAGCAGTTGCTAACCGCAAGATGCCGCTTTCTAGGACCGCTCATATCTTACAAAGTTCTTGGACAAGTGATCGTCGTCGTCAGCAGCGCAAAGGCGGCGGGCGATATTCTCGATCGTTTATCAGCCAAGACATCAGACCGGCCTCGTTATATCAAAGCAGAGTACCTGACTCACAACATGGACTTTGGGTTTGTGAATCGAGGGGCTTTGTAAGCACTTTAAATACCGCTTGCACAAGTGATTTATATGGGAATAAAGCTGGAGAACGCAGAGAAGAGCTGCACATGAAAGGTGACCCTCTCCAATTGTTCGTTCGTGACTCTGACTGATGTGCCACGACCTTAGTCTGAATGTCCGTGCCGCGAAGGACTTTCAGCTTGTGCAAAATGAAGAGAGCCGGATGCTGGTCGAGGGTCTCCTGCTACATCCTGAGATTGACATCGCCAAGCATATTTATCGGCATTCTTCCTCAGTTGCATGGCGTGTTATCTACGGCCACGAGGCCCTCAAGCTCGAGGTCGATGAACCGGGATTGCCCTCCGACAGCTTCTTCGCTCCTCTTCTTTTGGCCGCTGTTCCCGGGGGATCAATCGTCGATATCTTACCCTTCCTTCATCCTCTCATCTCGAGGTCCAAATTTATTCGCCGGTGAGTATGCTTCAAACTCGTGACGCGTGACCAACCTGATATCGTATCTAGATACAGCGATGAATGGTACGAACGCGCCAGTGCGTTTTTTGTCAAAGCGCATGTAGCTCCACAAGTGAGTGGGAAATTCTGTGCCTCAACCATACGGCGTGCGTTCTGAATGACCTCGTAAGGTGGAGGGCATGCCTTCTCTAAGCGCGAAGCTCAAGGAATTGGGAGAGAAGATTGGAATGAGTGGAGATGAAGACTGCGGCTGGCTGGGGGGAACACTGTAGTAAGGTCGAAGTTGTTCATGACCAGCGTTTATTGAATTCTCCACAGCATCGCGGCACAAGACACTGTAATTGAGCTCATTTCCTGTTTTTCTCTCATTCTCATCACGGAGCAGACTGCGACGTCTCTCAAATGGTTTCTCATAGCGATGCTTCTACATCCTCAAGCTGCTGCTGCTGTCCGAAGACAACTGGATCAGGTTGTGGGGAACCGATTCCCTACTTTTGAAGATATGGATAATCTTTCCCACATCCACGCCATTATCAAGGAAGTTCTCAGATGGAGGCCGCCGACACCGACGGGTGTTCCCCACGCAGCGAGCGAAGTGAGTGGCTAAACCACATTCAGACCACGGCTCAAACGTGCCCCGTAGGACATCATGTATGACAAATACCTGATACCGAAAGGCGCGATCCTCATCGCAAATTCATGGTGAGACATCCTAGTGCTAACATACCTCTCCCCTGACTTGACCGTTCCAGGTCTATCGGCCGCGATCCATCCATGTATCCTGACGGGGAGACGTTTGACCCCTCCCGGTTTCTAGACGAACAAGGGGATATCAAACCCTCCTCTCCGGATTCGCACGACAACTATCCGGTATTTGGACATGGACGCCGTATCTGCGTAGGCAAGACCCTCGCGATCAACACGCTCTTGATCGCGGTCGCGCGACTGCTCTGGGCGTTCGAATTTGAACCGGTGAGGGATGAGCATGGACAGCTCTTGCCCGACCCGATGAAGTTCCGGGACAATGGGCTCACTGTTTGGCCCGCTGAGTTCCAGATTAGGCTCGTTCCTCGGTTTCCTGACCTTTTGGACCGTCTGGATGTGTCTCCTGAGGAAGGCTAGTTGTGGTAGTGATTGGAAGAGCTCAACACTTGGTTTCCCTATGTTGGAGGGCGGTCGGAAGGGGGGGGAACATCTTCCACTTCCCCGCCCTTGCTACAGTGTACTGTATAGTAGATGATAAGAACCTCGTGTGGAATATGAAGCCCTCGTTCCTATTACTGAGCAGGCGGATCCTTTGTCGGGATAGAGGTGGGATGGTGTACAAGGCGATGTATGGACCTCACAGACGGACACCCCTATCAATTGGAGAAAGAACGACCGTTCGTCAATAACGAGTGGTCAAGTTCTCGACAATACGAGCTAGAGGAGTAGTATTGACCATTGGCTAGTGATCGAATACGCAGCACAGCACGGGAGGACATTTATCCTCCTACAAACATTAAACGAGATAGCGAGCGTGAGCGAGCGACGAGCTAAGCCTTGCATGCGCAATAGGTTGGGAATGGGTATTGCAGGCGGCTGGACACAGCGCTAGTGCAGCTTTCGAGGGATGCTCTGAAGAGCAGAAAGATTCCCTTAGGTGTGTAAGTCTGAGCTCGTTGATCGTCGACGCACGCAAGGGAGCTGGTACGTGTTCAGGACTTTGTAGTACTGTATCTAATCGCCCTTCGTCCGGGACCGACCGCTGAAATACACTCAACCAGCGGGTGGATCTGCCGATCTGGCTCCCGAAGTAAGAAAGCACGGTACTGTGCTAGCTACAGGTGCCGATCTCCCCCGATCAGGGCTATTTCGGCGCATGTAAGACACAGCACCGTAACCTCCAGCGGATCCTACGAGCAGCAAGGGTTCAGCCTCATCCGAAATCTGTCAGCAATCCGGTTTCCGGATATTGATATTGTGGACGACGACGGTGGGAGGGGCATAAGCGGCGCCCTGCGGAGATGAGGTGGGCGGTGGATTAGGATGCTGACTGACTGGGACACGTTGTTGAACCGTTCAGCGCCGGGGGCAGTGTGCGCGTGTGTGCGTTGCGTGCGTTTGAGGTAGAGCGTTTGAGCTAGGTGAGGAGGGTTTGACTGAGCCGGCCGCTCGGCTTGCCCGCTTGGGGCGGCTCGGGGGCAGTACTAGTACTGTACAGTCCCAGTACGGTGCATAGTAGAAATACGATGTTTGAGGCGGGTCACTTCGCTCATCTTTATCCTCTCCTAGACTTAGACTTAGACTACCAAGACGCGCGCCTCAGTAGACGATATACCGGGTGAACGTGGGCGTCAGGGACACGAGGAGGAGAAGAGGGCGCATGAGAGTGTGTGGAAGAGGTGGAAACCGATCCTTTCCGAATGGTATGAGCATGAGCGGATGGTGCATGATAATGGATATCATGATGGGTATGAGTATGTTGCTTATAGACGGTTGAGTGGGAGTGGGGATAAACGTGTGTGTATTTATTGTTGTTAGTGGGATGTACTGATGAATGAATGTAGCGGTATCGGTATTGTGAGTTGTTTTTATCCGTTCGAAGAGAGAGATGTGCCGAAGAGTGCCGAAGAGACCAATCTCCTTCCGTGAGACTTCGCCACTCTTTTCCCTGTGGAGAACCCCTTTGTCACTCTTTGATTCCGTTCCATTCCCTCTCTTCTCTTCTCTCTTCTTCTGAGGCAGTTACGGTCACTCTCGGTGGCTGAGTCCTCATATTCCCCGTCTTTCTCTCCTCTTTCTCACCCATCATCTAGCATGTCCCTCCCCTCTCCTCCTCCTCCTCACCCAACTCCCTCTCTCCCATCGAACAACCACTTCTACCCTCCATCCCCAAACTCAACCTCATCCGCAACTTCTCTCCCACTCGAACACATCTCCCCACCAACACCTACCATACGCCCTAACAACATTTCCCCGAAACGCACAGGCTCCATACTCGAGAACGCCCATGAAGCACCCCGTCTCTCTAGGCCTAACGGAATCCCCATCGGCACACGCAGCGGGAACGGGAATGGCAGACCTGTCTACCCTTCCCCCGTACGAGGGCGTCAAATAGACCGAGAGCGGGCGTTCTCCGGGTCTGCAACTACCCTGGGTACAGACCACACCTTTGCAACAGGAAGCGAGACCGTCGTCCCCTCCGAACCAGAAGTAGAAGACGGACACGCCCTTCCTCACATCACCCTCGACACCTCTTTCCAAGCTCAACCGCTCTCACCCTCACTCGGCCCAGCAAGCGCACTCCCGCATCGCACAACACGCAAATCGAGCATCTCCTTCGCTCCCCTCCCCTCCCCCGAACGCCCCCGTCAGAGGCGAAACTCCATCACGCTGGGCGTTGCTGCCCGCTCCCAGATCCTCCGTTCTCAAGGCTCGGGCGCTGCGCCCCGTCCTAGACCTCGAGGGCCGAAGGTGGTTCATGTTTACGAGGGGGGTCAGGACTGGAGCGCTGCGAAACGGGAACAGGTGGTGGATCTTGGAGAGTTGGGGAAAAAGTTGTGGAAGAAGTGGAGGGAGGGGAGAAAGCCCGTCCAGGGGGGGAAGGAGATGAGCACGGAGGAAGCGAGGGAGAGGGAACGGGAGGAAGAAGCTGTGCTGGAGTTGAAGAGGCAGGAATCGAGGGAGAGGGCCGCGCGGGTTCTTGGAGTGCCGGGAGTGCCAGGTGTGCCGGGCGTCCAGGAGGAGGAAGAGGAAAGGGAAGCGGAAGAGCTGGAGAAAGAGGCTCAAGAGGCGGAGGGGCCGACGGCGCATGCGAAGCCTACGCCTGGATCGCCGCCTCCTGAACTCGAGGAGGGCGAAGCCGAAGCCGAAGGAGAGGAGGAGGGAGGGGGGGAGGGAGAGGGAGGGGCTGAGGAAGAAGAGGAAGAAGAAGAACCAGCAGTGGAAGAACAGGCCGAATCAGAGCCTGAACCTTCTCATCCTGCGCCCACCAACATCAACACCGACGCTGACAACGACAAAGAGAACGACGCTGTAGCCGGTGCCGGTGGGTGGCAGGGCATAGGCAGACGCCGTAGTCGGTCCCCTTCCTCGGGTGGGATGACCTACGTGCAGCGGGAAGTGTTGGGGTTCGTATTCTCTGATGCGGATGGGGAGAAGGAGTAGGAGTAGGGTAAGACGGGGTTGGTGAGAGTGGGAGGAAGAGGAAGACTGAGATGAAGGGCAGGGGGAAGTGCCAAGCCTACGGAGGTGTTTATCCGGCCAACTCGGGTCGGGCGTCTAAAGTCCTGCCTCGAAAGAACGGTCCAAAACAGAGCAGAAAGCAGCCGGAGCGGGAAAGGGAAAGGGAAAGTACACTATTCGTATGGTTATGGTACAGTATTTTATGGCTAGTTTGCTTGGAAAGTGTAGGATTACTGTGTCCTTCGTTTGGTTGGAATATATTCGTTTCGTTACGTTTCATTAATGTTGAGGAAGGGAAGGGTGCTCGGGTTGGCTTATCGCCGACAAGAATGGGAAGACACAAAGGCTTAATCCGTGAAATCCCTTCGTCTCTCAGGAGGTACAGTTCCGCAAGGTAAGCGGAGGCGAATATTACGTTGGCCGATCTCCGACAGGAATGGGCCACTCGTTGCTGTAGGTACACTATGAAAGTTCATGATCTGACTTGAAAGTACTGTAACATGGGTTTGGACTATCTATCAGGTTGGCTCATCGCCGATAGGAATGCTCATCTACAGTTATGGAATTTGATACATCCTGCATGATACGCATCTTGCCTTGTTACTTGCTTATATTTTTCGTAGACGTGCTGCTGTAACTGCTGAGTGTGCTCAGACACCGGCGGTGATTGGTAACCTCCCGCTTCCCAGGCCTGGTAGGATGTTTTCGACTTGCTTTCGGCCTCAAGCTGGAGCTTAAGCAAGTGATTCGGGTCATTGAACCCTCCGGCCTTTGCAGGATTGCCAGCCTGCTTTTGCTTTCCTCCTGGGCTTGTGTTGGGGGTACTGGATAGGTGCTGTGCTTGTAAGTGGTAGGTGTCCGCTGCCAATCCATCGTTCCCCTCCTTCATGTGTGCCTCCGCCACCGTTTTGAGCTCGTTGTGAACAGACTCATGCGATACACCACCACCTATCGTGACATGTGCTGGTGCTGGTGCTGCTGGTTGTGGTTGTACCTGCATATGTGCTTGTGCAGCGGTTGGTGCTGGTGTTGCTTCTGGTTTCTTTCCAACCAAATTCAAGACACTGGATCAGTTGTGAGAACAATCAACCTCTACTTCAGGGATGAGAACGCACAAGCGTTTCGCCTTGTCCTTAAATTGTTTTATGGGCTGTAGCGGAGACGAGGGAGGGGCAGAACTATCACCTGCACTCAAATCGGGGGTGGAAGGATATTGTCCTCCATCAGATGCGGGGTATTGGTCATCTTGTGGTGGATTCGGGTCGGGTGTGCGACTTTGCCTAGATTGGAAGTAATGAGTAACAGGTAAATAGGCTCGGTCAAAATGTCAACGCACAGTGCGGCACTTTCCCCTGCATCGAGTTGATATCCCCGAGTGTTCAGGGATGGAATAGGAGCCGCCAATGATAGGATAGTGGCGAAAATGAATGTCAACAATACTGGCTTGATAGGGATCATGGTGTAAAAGAACGGTGCGACAAAAGAGGTGACCAGCACTTCAGAATGGCGGAGAGCGACGAAGAATTCAGATGGAGGTAAGAAGAACGAAGAGGGGCGAGACCAGCTGCACGGAGGATGTTCACTCATTGGCACCCATTTTTGTACGCAAAACCAGCGAGGCGCAGAAGAGTTGATCGGTGTCGAATTGCACAGAGGAATTACGGGAATACTCGCCACTTGTTCTGCCGGTCGAGAGGCTATGGTAAGGGTTGGTCCTTTTGATAAAATACCGGTGTTGGCTGCCTCATCAAGCGCCTCTTGCCGATTTTGCTATTCAAGCCCACCCACATGGTTTCTGTTGAAATGAAGCACTTGCAACTGGAGCTGTTTGCATTAGTGCTAGTTTACCTTTGCAGACAGCCTGGTCTTAGGAGTCCTAGCTGTCCGCAAAAGGCCACCAAACTTTGGACAAGGGTCCTCAGCATTTAATTTTGCTCAAATCCGTGGTTTTTCTGCATTTGTGTTTAATTGTGATGATTTTACAGGATTTTGTGGCTGTGAGTGGGGTAAAAGGTCCACAATTGAGTCAAGATGCAATAGGAGCAAATAGTTTGCTTCCATCAGCTGAAAGGAACCTGTGGGGGCGAGTTTTTTTGCTTTGGTTTCACATTCCAGTTTCTTGCATGGAGGCTATTGTCAGGGCACCAGCTCATTGCTTGGTCAAGAGACATGACTAAGCCTTTATGACATGGAAGTAGCTGGTATACCTTGGCATGTGCTGGAACCTGCTGGAAGGATTGGATGGTCAGG